ACTAAAAAAATACATTTAACCAATAAAAATGAGACAAGTGTCTCATTCTAGAAAAAAAGACCAGTTGCAACCTTAGGCGAGTCACCTTATGACTTGGGTTGTGAGACCACTGGCCTTTTTCCTTTCTTTTCAATGTTGTCATGTAGCGGGTGGCTTAATATTTGGGTCACCGATAAAGTCGGTCTAATATGTCTTCGATATATTATACTACCTCCTATTTTTAATATATGTCGTTTTGAGAAGTTGCACACTAATTAAGAATATTTTTTTGTCAATAATAACTTATTTAATGAAAATAGAGATGAATAATTTGAGAAAAAAGTGAAGAGTGAATATGAAAAGGCGTAATGCATTTATTGACTAAATGAGGGTAATAATGGAAAAATATGTACAAAAGATCCAAAACGACATTTATTTGACAAATAGTTGAAAAAGCTAGAATGACATTTAAAAAAATAGGAGGGAGTAATTTATATGATTATTATATTGTATATGATTATTACTAAAAAATATCACATTTTAAATAATATGATGCATTTAATTTAAGAAGCCAATGTCTTTGTTTGATATTTCTAAAGGCTTTTTATTTTCAGATTTTATTAAATCTCTGTGTATTTAATTTATAAACTTTCTAAAACTTTACTCAGTTTGGTTGGCAAAGGTTTATTAGGTTTGTTGTAATTTATTTTATTTTATTTTCTCAAGGGCTAATCACTAATTCAATTAGCTCATTAACTTATTTCGTTGATGGTTTATATTCTTTAAGTTGCTACTTTTTTATCCTTCATTTAAAACTAATTTTTTAGAATTTACCCCAACACAGTAAACACGATTATTGCTATGAGTTCTTCATCGCCTTCCTCTGATTCCACACTGTCATCATCCCCATCGCCAGCACCGTGCCATCGTGCTTCTCGGACCGTTCAGCCTCGTCGTCGTTTCCTCCGTTGTCCGCTACATCCGCTGTCGACCTCCGCCGCCACTAGTTGTCCTACGAGAAAATTTCCTGAGAAATTCCGATGAAGCCCTCGATAGCTTTTTCACTTGATTTTTTAGGTCTAGTTGTGGAGAGGGTGATTTTATGATTTATTCATATTGAAAATTTGGGGAAATGAAAATTGCTTTGCCCTCGTCGCCATCCACTATATCCCCATCCCGCTGACCCTGCACCCATCAAAGCCATCTGAAACCAACCCCGATCCTTCAACCCTCCCTACACTAAATTACCATCACAATTTTATTTTCAAATAAAAAATTTGTGCGAAATAAAAGTTGCGTTGTTGGCAACAATAATAACAACAAGAGCCATAACAGGCCCAATCCCTTGCCCCTCCGTCCTTTCATTTGTCGTTGATAAACGCTCTACTCCTCACAAAATTTTGTCATTCCGTCGCTCTTCCATCATCTCGTTCGCCGTCGTCGTTGGGCGACAGATTTTGGGTGTGAGGGCCTTGTTATACATAAAAATCGCCTTCGCTCTGGGCCGACCTAGTAAGCCAAGAAATATAAGAGACCAGACCAATTAAGAAATGGGTACAAATTATGAAAAAGAACAACCGATGAAAATTGGTCGCCAAGATCATGTCGATCCACACCCGCACTGGGCGCCGATCTCTTCTTATTCATTCACCTAGAAGATTTTCGATCATTCTGACGTATGATTGAGAACTAGCAAAGCAAATTGTTCAAGTGACCACCCAATCGGTTCTATCATCAAAAGAGGAGTTTTTGCATTGGGCGACATATGTCACTCTCCTACGCCCTTAGGTTACCCCGTTATCATAACTACATTTTACTTTCTCTGTGTATACATGCAACCCAAGAGGCTCAAAAGAACAACCAACTTTGAGAAAAATACATCCATATATACAATTATTCTCATTGTATCTCTCCGTACAGATCGACAACCTCCTTGTGTCGTTTAATTTTCGCTTTCATGATTTCAATTTCTCTTGTGAATCGTTAACTTGTTGAATCCCTCTTATTATAACAATAAGTTGTTACTTAATTCCCCATTATCTGTCAATTAAGTTGCTCGTTATTGTGGTTGACGCCCGAACGTCAACAAAATAGGGCTAGAAGGAGCGCGACCATCAAGGGTTACCTGATGGGTGTCGAAACCAACAATAATAAATTCATACTCATCTAAAATATAAAATTGTAGTAGCAATGAGTAGGGTCGTATCCACAGAGAATGGATGAAATGAATTGATGCAACTATTTCGTGAAGGAATAATAAATAAATAAAAAGATGTATGTTCAATCTACCTAAAATAATAAAAATGCAGTTCAATGAAAATAAACAAAACAGGAGAGATTCGAGATTTAAATAGAATGAATAAAGGAGATTAAATATCCAACTAAAGGAAAGATTCGTAAAAATGATCCAATGATTCGATCATAGATGCAAAGATAATTCTCTTACTCTCAACTAAACTGGTTATGGTTATTGGTACGACCTAATAACCTATCCTTCCTTATTTGTTCGATAATCCAGATACGATCACTAATTATTTCTCCAATCAACAGACAGTCCTAGATACGATCATAGGATTTAATCTATCAACAACATTGAAACCTAGTAGGACCACCAATTCTAGCCAACAAACACACATGTAGGATCATTCAGACTAGATCATATACCTCCCTAAACATAAAATAAAAAACCCTTAGTAATCAACTATGTTCTCTGCCACTAATATTAGAACATTCAAACAATTACGGATTTAATGTCCTAAATGGCGATATGCTATTCAAATAATTGAACGAAGAGCTCTTTTTGCATCAGTCAATAAAAATAACAATTGATAATAAACACAAGAGAAATAAGAATAAAAGAGAATAGGGAATTGAAAACTCAATTAGATCTCACAAATCATGAAGAACCAAATCATGAATAATCCTCTGGCTGGAAAAATAATTTAGCTATCCATGAACATGGTAGTATTCTCCATAAAATTCATCCTAAAAATAATAAAGACAGTAGAAATAAAATAAACAGCAGAAGAAATCTTATTCTGTTCGTGCGTGTTGTCGCCCTTCAAAAGCAAATCCGCAGATGACAAAAAATAAAACGTCAAACTGAGCAGAAGAGAAGAAAGAGGAGAGAGAAAAATAATACCTAGCAGTCTGATTTAATTATCAGTCTAATCCTAATCCTAGAAGAAAAACGTAGAAAAAAAATATCTTCTCTCCAAAATATCTTAATAATTAAAATAGTCCTCAAATAAATAAAAACTCCATTAAGTCTTTTATTTCTCTTTCCAACTTAATACTTCTTCTTTCTTCCAACTCTTGTAGGAAATTAGCGTGCCCACGCCTTAGCTCAAATTCGTCTCTTTCGCCCTCCAATCATCACAAATTCCAAATTCTAAGAAATCCTACAAAAATTATAGAAATCAATTAAAATCA